CCTCCCGTCCGCGACGTCCCGATAGAGAAGGATACGAACGACGAAAGGGTTCGTGCAAACGATTTCTGCGGAGCGTCCGTCTTCGTCCCTCTCGATTCGAACCGTTTCGGGAGTAAAGGTTCGGCAGGGTCAACGAGCGACGACTTTCTCGCGATCGTACGTACGGATTTTAAAGTCGAATTTACGCGTCGATAAGGTAAGAGCGACGGTGACTCGCGAGACGGCTCGAATCGAGTTAGAGTACTGAAACGGTATCGGCGAAGCTTCCGAGAAAGTAGACTAACCGGGCTAGCTAATTGACCGGTAACCGAGACGGCTCGTAACCGGGGCAGCTTTATCTTTGGACCGCGCTACCGGTCCCAGGACGAAGCCGGCGTAATTGCAACGGTGTTAATGTCGCGGCAATTTGCTTGCCATCGAGCGCGCTCGTCGTTCGATTTATTCTGGAATAACGGCGATAACCCTTGGCTCGAATCGCGGCACTCAAGGACAGCTCGGTAACTTTTCCAGGAATCGTGGAAAGTAAAGTCGCGGTGTCGAGCGTTCGTTTCCATCCCGCGCTTTCGACGCGTATCGGTATCTCGACGCGGTCGTTTAACGAACGTAAATTATTTTCATCGCGCGCGGAAAGAGGAGGAACGGAGGGACGGGAAACGAGAGCGATCCAGAAAGATGCTCGAGTCCCCTGGAGTATCGACGGCGCAACGGGTGAGCCGGCCGAATCGCTATGGTAGCCAATCTATATGATAAACAGCCTAGTTACGCGAATCGTTCGTTACGCGCGGCGAGTCGCTCGAGACGAATACGTGAGCCAATGTCAACCCGGTCGAGAATAGAAAAGAAAAAAGAAAATAAATAATCGAAGAGAGAAAAGAAAAGAAAAGAAAGAATAAACGGGGATCAACGAGCTCTCGAGGCCCGACGCGAGGCTCGAATTAAACGCTTCGAGACCGCGAATCGGATTAAGCCGGAAGATGGGCCGGGAATCGACTCGGACCGATCCGCGATTAAACGACGAATAATTTTCTATCGACTCTCGACTTCTTATTACCGCTCGAAACCGGTAGAACGTATCGAAAAGAACTTCGTTAAAAGGAAAAAATAGACGATAATAACGGAGGTAGTCGATGAACCGTACGGGCGGTGAAAATAGAGCAACGACGGTTTCCTCGTATCGCGATCGGGAAAAGAAGAGGCAAATTTTCATGGGCAGTCTCGTCTCGCGG